ACCTTAACCAGCATATCCAGTGGTGAAAAATGCTTAGAATCAGTTCAGCAATTTCTGGGAGGTTACATGATCCCTACCCCTGATAGAGATTATTTATTATTTTTATAATAAAGTCTAAAGCCTTGGAACTAAGTTCATTTTGGTCAGTATTCATTTTCTTTGAGCAGAGAGCAAAAGAAGATGTGCTGCAGAAGGAGGTGCGGGTAAAAATTCTGAAAGACAACATCAAGATGTTAGCTGCTAAACTGCCATCTGGTGGCCAGGATTTAACAACTGAGCTTAACCTGGTATTGGAGAATTACCAGCAACTTTGCAACCGGATTCGGGGGAAATGTCATACTTTGGAGGTATGGTCCATAGTGTAGCTCTCCCCTTAATGCTTATAGATAGTGCTTGCATTTTAAAGTTCTCTTAGGGTCTTTACAGACTGCCAGAAATAATTCAACTTGAGTCCACTTTAACTGCCTCAGTGCTAGGGAATCATGGGAACTGTAGCTTATTGTGGCACCAGAGCTCTCTGACAGAGAAGGCTCAATGTCTCAGAAAAAACTACAGTTCCCATGATTCCCTAGTACTGAGCTAGGGCAATTAAAGTGGACTCAAGTTGCATTATTTCTGGCAATCTGTAAAGCCTCTTAGTCTTAAAGGAGGATTAGCAAGAGCCAGTATGGTGTAGTAGTTTGAGTGTTGTACAAGAACACTGGAAGGCCAGGTTTGACTCCCCACTTGGCAATGAAACCCACTGAGTGACCTTGGGCAAGTCACACACTCTCAACCTGTAAGGTTGCCAGAAATCAGAAATTACTTAAAGGCACACAGCAGCAACAACAAGATAATTTAAATAGCTTTGGGACTTTAACACTATTAATAAGGGCTTCCTTTCGCTAAGTAACACTTCAGAAACTATTTATTTCATTTGCTCTCATCAATTTTAATGCTAATTTTAGACTGCTATAAAGGAACTGTTTGTACTGCCCTCTGCTTATAGTGGACAAAATAAGTTCATAACTGTGGCTGCAGTATTAATGGGAATGAGCCATATCTTTATGACCAGTTGGGCAACAGAGATGCTAACATGTCATTGAAAAGCCAAATAATTATACAAGACTGTGGCTTGAGTCCTTTTGGATATTCCCAATTAGATTAGGCCCATGGAATAAATTGTTGAATAGTGAATGAACACAATTGATTCAATCCGTCTACTGTAGTTGGGACTGATAATAAGATTCAGACTATTGTATCTAGTTGGGTATAATTTCTGTATCCTGTGAGCTGTGTGACTGGGCGCAATTGTGATTACAGACATGTCTGCAAATATTTGATAGACATATGCATTATTAGTATAGTTTTCCCAACTCTGATAGGTGTTTTAGATGTTCTTTTGCACCATGTAGTGAAAATATAAACACCTTCATACACCTTTCTAAGTACTGCTGCCACAATGATTTTTACAAAGCTTGTTCTCATTATTGACAATGTTTTAGGGACAGGGTAACTTATCGTATGATATTTATTGTGTCCTTCAAATTGTTCTGACTTACAGTAAACCTAAGGAAAACCTTGATCTCTAGAGTCATAGTCCAGTGCTCAAACCACTTCACTATGCTAGCTTTCGATGATATATATGTATTATATTCAAGTCTTCACTGCTCCCAGTGCCCTAGCATTTAGCTTCAGTTATATTTTTTTAGCAACATTATACTACAAATGTAAGTCCTAACCACATAAAATATGTGCTCTTTATTTGCTTATATGTACTCATATATCTTTCTTTTTCATGGTCTATTCCCCACAAACCTCAGTTCCAGTCTGACTCATTCTTCCTCAGTTGTACCAAATCATTCTAAATAGCACCACCATCTCTCATCTTCTCAACCAATCTCCATCCTTATGCAAACAGACAAATATTTCATGCATACTCAAGGCATTATTTATTATAATATATTACTGTAGAAAAATAAAAATGTTACTTATATAATATGTTCTCATTTCATCCAGACTGAATGGTTGTCAAGTCTGGAACCAGCCACCTTAAACCAGAGACTTGTTGGTTTAATTGTGGCTTGGATGAGGGAGGAAGAAAATGTACCTTTTTGCTTAGGAAGCTAATGTATGATTACTTGATGTGGACCACTGTGGAGAGATGGGAACTTTCCTTTCAATAATCATGTAATGCAAAAAGAGTAATGAAATTTTGTGTAAGAGACATGTGTTCTATGATGTGAGTATAGAGCAAGATCCCAAAGGTGTGGGGGCTATAGCGGGTGGGAAAGTGCTGGACATTGAGCACAGACATGAGGGGTCATAAAATAGAATGGGCTGCTAGATGCTTCAATTATAATTAATGACATTTTTGCAATTTGAGGAGCAACTCTATCTCTGAAATATAATATTCTTTCACAACCCTTACCTTTAGGAAGTGTGGTCTTGCTGGATTGAGCTGTTACACTATTTAGATCTGGAAACAACCTGGCTGAATACTTTGGAGGAGAAAATGAAATGCACTGAAAACTTACCAGATAAAGTGGAAGCTGTCAATGATGCTCTTGAGGTACGTTGAACACTATAAACCTAGTACATGCCCACAAAAAAGAGAGTAGCAATGTAAGCTTTTAAAAAAGAAGAAATGTTTTCCTACTGCATATAGAGATAGGGTAGCAACAATGATACGATCATTGTAGACTTTATAATAGTGATTCTATTGTATATAATGTAACAGAAGTATTTTGACCATCTATTCCATCCATCCATGTGCTGTGGATGTTGCCCTGATTTCTTGGTCTAGGGATCTATGCATTCTGCCTAGCAGGTATGGGACTTGGAAAAACTGTACTGTAGTCATCCCAGCCCTATTTGGGTGAGTCTTCCTGAAAAGTGTTTTTGGGTGACCTTTATCCTTAGGACTCGATTCCTTGCCCTTTCTCACTTTTAAATATTTAGATGAAGTTGCCATGAAAAGAAATCCAGAATGTTGGGGTTGAATTTCATCAGTATATGATGCGGCCTCCCTCCCTCCTCTCTTTTTTTCTCTATTAATGCCATTGAAACTTTGGAAGTCCTTAACCTTTTGTGAGAGGCAGGATGATGTAGTGGTTTGAGCACTGGACTACAGCTCTGGAGACCACGGTTCGATTTTGTGCTTGGCCATGGAAACCCACTGAGTGGTTTTGGACAAATAACACACACTCAGCTCCCAAAAACCCTGTGGTAGTTTTGTCTTAAGGTTGCCATAAGTTAAAAGTGACTTGAAGACAGACAACAACAAACTTTTTCTAGTGATGGACTGGATGCGGATGTCGATAAAGTGAGCTCAGTTCACATGGTGGGGGTCCTGTGAATTAATAGAAAGGCTAGTTTAGGACCAGGAATATAACCTGATGAGATTGCATTACTTCTTAAGGATCAGATATGCAGCTGGAGGGTGCTCTGGAATCTGATGTTGTTACCCAACAGCCCTGTAGTTGGTGCACAGGTTTGCATCTCTTCCTGGGGAAAGTGTATGTAGAATACTTTGCAATTATATTACCATAATGTTCTCTGTGTGAGGTGAAATGTGTTACTTTACATCATGCCTACTACAAAATAACCTGGCTGTTTTCTGGTGTGATCTTTAAAAACAATGTCATCCTCTTGAACAAGGCAGCAGCACTTGGCTGCTGGAGGACAGAGCCCTGTCAAGAGCCAGAGCGAACCCTGATTACGACGACACTGAGGAGAGTGGAAGGGGCTATAAAAAACCCTCCCAGGACCATCTTCCCCCGGCAACATGTGGCAGCAGGCCAGCATAGCCATCACCAGATTTGTTACTTAAACAACTAAGACATTGCCTGCTCACTATAGGACAGGATTTAGCTGGATCGCCCATCTTTGCCATCATACAAGGGAGCCGGGAATGATCTGGCATTCAGGTTGTGTGGGGGCAGGGCAGGTATGGCGGTAACAGAGTGAACAAATGTTACAAAAGAAGAAGGGATCAACGCGTAATACCTATCCCTTCTTCAGTTCACTGTTTCCCAGGATAACTTGGAGAGCGTACCAGCCATTCCACAGACCCTTACTCTGCTCCTTTGTAATGCCAGGTCGGCCAAAAACAAGACTCATATTATCTATGACCTCTTGTTTGACAAGGCGGCCGACCTGGCATGCTTCATTGAGACCTGGCTGGGAGATGCCAGCACTGCTACGTGGGTGCAGGCTCTCCCAGCTGGATATATGGTAAGTGAGCAGATAAGGGAAAGTAGGCAGGGGGGCAGAGTGGCCTTGGTTTATAGAAACACCTTAACCTGGACCAGGAAGCCTATCCGGAAAACAACCTACATCGAGTATATACCTTAACCTGAAAACCAGGGATAGTTTAGGGATTCTGTGGGTATACCGGCAACCCCGTTGCTTAACAGACTCCCTAACCGAACTGTCCTTGCTGGTCTTGGAGCTACTGTTGGAGTCGCCCAGACTTTTGGTTGGGCAACTTCAACATTCCTCTCGAGACTGGCTTGTCTAACTCAACAGGTGCAGCTCGGGAGTTCATGGAGACCATGACAAATGGGCCTATCCCAATTGGTTGACGGGCCCACACATTGTGCTGGTCATACCCTCAATGGTTTTTTTTAGTACGGAACAGAAATATCCATGGGCGGAGGTTAAAAAAGACTCTGAATTGTCGTGGACGGATCATTTCCTGGTCAAGATGGAGTTAAAGACCACTATCCGCCCCCACGGGGGTGGCAGACCTATTAGAATGATCCGCCCTCGAAGGCTAATGGAACCAGTTGATTTCCAGAAAGCCTTATAGGGTTTAACGGTGATTCTGTCGAAGCCTTGGTGAATACTTGGAACACTGACCTCACCAGGGCTATCGACACAATTGCTCCAAAGTGTCCTTTCCAGCCCGCTTCTAATCGTAAATCCTGGTATACAGAGGAGCTTAGGAGGATGAAGCGAGCTGGACAACGACTAGAGTGCAAATTACGGAAGACTCGACTCTTGTCCGACAGAACTTGCCATAGGAAGCATCTTGATTACTATTGGGAGGCATTACGTGCAGCGCAGAGATCCTTCTGTTCTGCTTGTGTTGCGTCTGCAGAGTCCCGTCCAGCACAACTGTTTAGGGTGGTGGGGGAATTGACGAAGGTTCCTCCGATGCTAAAACCCCTACTCAACCCAACGACAACCTGCTGCGATGCGTTTAACATCTACTTTGCAGATAAAATCTCTCAGATAAGAGCCGACTTGGACACCGTTGTTCCGACAGAATCTGTAGATGAGGTGTCCAGCAACTCCGTTGTTGGCAATTTATTGGATCAGTTCCAATCTGTGAGTACCGATGATGTGGACAAGCTCCTTGGAAAAATGAGGAAGACGACTTGCTGTCTCGATCCATGTCCAACTTGGCTGGTCGTCCGGGGGGGGGGGGAATGCTCTGAGAGTATTCTTATGGGATACAATCAATGCGTCCTTCAGGGAAGGTATTGCACCATTGTGTTTGAAGGAGACAGCCGTCAGGCCACTACTGAAGAAACCTTCCCTGGACCCCCTGGATAGAAACAATTATAGACCAGTCTCCCTGCTATCTTTTTTAAGCAAGGTGATCGAGAGGGCAGTTGCTTCCCAGCTCCAAGCTGTCTTGGATGAAGCCAATTATCTCGATCTATTTCAAACCGGCTTCAGGACAGGATATGGAGTGGAGACTGCCATGGTTGCTCTGACCGATGATCTATGCTTGGGCATCGACAGGAGTAGCATAACCCTGCTGGTGCTCTTGGATCTCTCAGAGGCTTTTGACACAATAGATCATTTCATCCTCTTGGATCGCCTGAGAGAGTTAGGAATCGGAGGCACTGCTTTGCAGTGGTTCCGTTCCTTTCTCTCGGGCAGATCCCAGAGGGTGAGGCTCGGGGACAGTTGCTCTTCCAAAACTGAGCTTAATTGTGGCATCTCTCATGGCATCATCCTGTCCCCGATGCTATTTAACATCTATATGAAGCCGCTGGGTGAGATCATTCAGAGGCATGGAGCACGGTGTCTTCAGTACGCTGATGACACCCAGATATACTTCTCCATGATCACATCAGGCTTCAGATGGCGTCTCTCCTCTCAATGACTGTCTCAGAGCAGTAATGAATTGGATGAGGAAAAACAGATTGAAACTAAATCCAGGCAAAACGGAGGTACTGACAGTTATGGGCCCGAAACCAGATCTGGGAATACAGTCTCTAGTCCTGGATGGAGTCACACTCTCTTCTAAGAACTGTGTTCGTAGTTTGGGGGTGCTCCTAGATTCGTCGCTTCACATGACTAGTCAGG